TTCAGATCATTTTACAGGCAGGAAGGGGGTATTGTATTGCTTCTTCACCATCTGCATTAACTCCTTGGAAACCACATAGGCAACCCCATTCACTTAAATGGGTCATGATCAGTGGGCGTACAAGGGGTATAATTCCTGCTACACCTGTGAGGTAAAGCATTGCAGCCTGTGTGCCCCCCCAGCCAGTGCTTCTGCAGCTAAAGAGGATAGTGGTTGGAGGGTGGTGAAAACCCCAGCTCAACCACAAGATTTTACTACACCCACCCTCAAGTGTGAATCAGCCCTAATAGAGTATACAGTCAAAGTTCTCAGATCACCATCGCTTCTTGCCTGGCCAGTGTATATAAATGGCTGAGCGGGTGCTCTCTTGTTTCTCTGGGGTGCACAGTGGTGCAATCTGCAACCACTGTGTGTGACCCATCTGCACATCTGACTGATGATGTTCCTGCACGAGTCTTAGATATCTCCCACAAAAACAACTGCACTCCTGGAGCCACGGGAACACTTCTGTTCTTCCTTTCTTTAGCCTCCTGTACTTCCTAAATGGTGAATATGGCATTCCTGGGTGTAGCCACATACCAGAAGGCTAGGTTTGCTTGGCTTAAAGGAACAGGGGCCGCTATTGGTAATGTTACACTAAGCTATATTCCTTGACCACTTGTATAGAGGCGACCATTACAGAACAATGGTTTTGTTTCAAATGGTTGATTTGTGTGATAAACAAGATACAACGTTCTGTATAAACAAGTTTCATACATGTGGTATCACCATACTCAGGAGGCATAGCAGAATGTGCTTTGGGGTATAATTCAAAGTATGCCTATGATGCATGTTATCTTATCTTATTGATGGACAACTTTATATAGAAAAGAACATTTTAAATTTTTTGCCTGCACTTTCCAAAAACTTGAGGCAAAATTACATTTTACTAAATATGCCTCTTACTAAATACCTTTGAGTGTTTGCTTTCCAAAATGAGGTCATTTTGTGGGTGTTTCCACTGTCCTGGTTCTCCAGGGCCTAGAAAATGTGATAAGTAGTCAATAAATTAATGTACTGTATGCTCCTTGAAAGCCCAAATATGTTCCTTGGATTTTGGGTCACTTTATGCATTTAGGCTGTAAAAAAGTCTCACACATGTGGTATCCTCATGTTTGGGAGGTATAGAAGATGTGCTTTGGGGTGTAATTATAACTATGCACTGTGTTTAAGACATGCCTTGTTAACATTACAGCGTTATGAAAAAAAAAAAGAAATGTTTTCATTTTCCAAAAAATTGTGACAAAAAAATTACAACTCCAAAAAACTTTCCCCATTCTTAATAAATACTGTGGACTGTCTACTTTCATTTGGGGGGTATTTATACTTTCCTGGCATTTTAGAGCCTCAAGAAATGAGATAGACAGTCAGTACATCAGGAATTATCAATTTTCAAATATATTGTATATCTCAAATATATACCATAATTTGTAGACTCACACAGACTAAATAATATACACTGACTTTGGTTATTTTTACCACAGAAATGTAGCAGAACACATGTTGGCTTCAATTTATGAAGAAAGGTTGTTTATTTGCAAAATTTTATAACAGAAACTAACTTTTTTTTTTTTTTAAATTTATATAGCAAAAATTAAAAACCCAATGGTGAATATAAGTCACCAAAAGAAAGCTCTATCTGTCTAAAAAAAATCTCATAAAAATTTAGTTAAAAAGTCTAATAAAAATTTAATTTGGGTACAGTGTTGCATGGCTGAGTAATTGTCATTCAAAAGGGTGACAGCTCTGAAAACATAAAAATGGCCTGGGCAGGAAGGTGATGAAGGTATGTATCTGGTATTGAGGTGGTTTTTTTTTCATCTCAGCTTATTTAATTAATAGGAATTTAATTATTATGGAAATACTGAATATACACAGCAAACTGGAATCTGATATACTGCAAGTTAAGGATTATCTCAGTATTTGTATTATCTTGGTAATCAGAAACCTATTACAATGTACTGTAATGTACCGGTAGTTATTAAGAGTATTGAAGAGACAATTGAACACTATAATATAAGATAATTTTTTTGTTCTCAAAATGTATATATTATTACAGATATTTACTATCTATGGAGCCATCACTTACCCAGTGCTTTACATCCACATCAGGTCCTGCCTGTAAGACACTGTTTCTAGTATCTTCGTAACATATTGACCTGTGGGAGAAAATGTAGGACAGAAAATGTAGGAGCACTTAGATTTATATTCATGTTTGAATTTGTAGAAAATTTCCAAGTAGAAATAAAAATAATTACATGATTGCAATATAATACTATTTTTTAAATTGCTGTGCACACATCAAACTGGCTCCAAGCCATCATTCAGTATACAGCCCAGTAGATGCAAGGGTCTGGCACCAGATGAATGTGCAATGGCTTCATTAATCTTACAGGATTGTAAATGAATATGGAGTACAGAACAGATAGAATGATGGCTTCAGTTGTTCCCACCCTTTTTGACGTTCAAAAAATGTACTGTACATGGTAACAGCATTCATTCATGAAAGCGAAGAGGAAGCTCTTCATTTCCATGAATACAAAGGGGTTGATTTACTTGAAGTTGCACTCTGCAAGTGCAGTTTCTCCAGAGCTTAGTAAAAGAGAGACGTTTTGCTCACTTCCATTAGCCAATCATGTGCAAGCAAAAATGTTTTATTTTCCTCTCATATGATTGGGTATTCTTTGCACCTCATTTACTAAGCTCTGGAACAACTGCACTTGAACTTTCCCGGGCTCTCCATAATACAACTGGTGCTTGGATGTGGGCAATCCAGCCATAAAAGTCATTTGAAGTAGAAAACCCTGCATTTAAAGGGCCAGTGTCATTTTGCATGTCTTGGGTCAGAGCAACAGAGATGCTGCTAACCTCTGAAGGTGGCATTGAGGAGGTAGTCAGACTCCTACTGCAAGTCACAGTGGCCCAGCAGCAGGCCCCAACAGAAGCCAGCTCTTGCCATGAGGAGGGTCAGGGATATCAGCATTTATGGAAGCCCAAGCACACCAGAACCAGGCCTTGACCCTATTAATACAATCTCACCAGACTAAGGCTGCCCAGATGAGCACTATGATGAAGCATCTTAAGACAATGGTTGCCCCAAACAACCAAGTGACAAGCCAGCCAATTCCTCCAGAAACATACCTTCCATGATGGCCAGGAGACCTTCCTGACCATGTTTGACCATATGTCTGAAAGAGAAGGGTGGCATTAGGACCAGTAGGCCAGCCTCCTTATCAGGAGATCTGCAAAAGGTCTACTATGACCTGCCGATGGCTCATGCCAAGGACTATATAAAGCTCAAGGGGGAGATCTTATCCCACCTGTGGGACTGTGGGTGTCTGGGAACGCCAGATGCATTGAATGAGATATCCTGCTGGTCAGTCACCAGGCTAACAAATGCATGACCTATTGCAGCTGGCCATAAAGTTGTAACAGCTGGAGAAGAGGACAGGACTACATATAGTGGAACTGGTCATCATGGACCACTACCTATGGCTTCCTGTCAGTGTGGAAAGCCAAGTCATTGCCTATTCAGGGAACCAACATTAAGGAGTGCCAGGGAGCAATTATCTCCCAGTGTCCAAGAATTCTGCAGGGGTAGAAAGGTGCTGTTGGTGTCACACCAGGAGCCATGTCCAGGCTCAATGCCCACTGCAGGAGGACCCCATGGAGTGTGGAGCTATCTGAAGGCTGTATTATTATGCACAGAGCGTCTGTGCTACCCTCCTGGATCTGACTGAGGGGGTGTTTGAATGTGACCTCTTGGTAAACCAGTTCCATGCCCAGGCCTTGCTGGACTCAGGTAGTGTGGTGACTTTTGTCCATACCGGGGTGGGTGGGAGAGTGATCCCCGTAGCTAAAAAAGCAAGAGTAATATGTATGCATGGGGACACCAGAGCTTACCCGCTAGCACTCATGAGAATAAAAACTGCATGTGGCATCGTTACCCAGGTGGTTGGGGTGATGCCAACCCAATACATGATATCATAGTGGAGCAGGACTGTCCTTCATTCATAAAACTGTGGAAATATGTGAGTGGATGACTGCCTGGACAGTGTGACTCATTTGCTCCCTTTGAAGGATTGAATAATGTGACTAAAAAAAATACTGATGAGATGATACTAGAGGCAGATGGTCTACAGGCTAAGGAAACCCCTGAGTGGGGTAATATCCTCTTTTGCAGGTCATGGTTGGGGAGAGCATAGAGGAAGCCTTCCCACTATGGGTTATGTCCAAGCAGGATGAGGGGGAAGGTTCCTCTAATCCTTCCCATCCTGACCTGAAAATGTCACAGGGTTCATTTGGTCCCACCCAAATGCAAGACCTCACATTTAAAAATTCCAGGGAACAGATCACCATGATAATGGGGTATCACAAGTGCCTGAGGCTGAAAGAAGGTTTCCACTCGGAAATTATGAGTTGCCATACCAAGGTATAGTCTGGGATGAGGTGGTTAACCAGTTACTGGTCCCCAAACCTTTTAGGCACATAGTACTTGACTTGATATGGATAACAGACCTGTTCTACTGGCGGGGAGCTAGTGCTGAGGTGAAAATGTATGTCATTGTCACATTTGAGGAACCTTTTGGTGCCCTGGCTATTGAAGTGCTGTTTGAGCATATTGCGATGGACCTAATGGGCCCTTTGGTCAAATTGGCTTAGACTGATTAGACAAAGCGGGATTATGTCAGCAGGTCCATGCCAATAATTCATGACTGGGACCTGCTGATCTGCTGTGTCAGTGAAGGTTTGCCCATAGTGCAGACCAGCAACTGACTAGGCAGATGTGCATGGATGTGGGCATTTGAGCAGTGGTGTATTTTGGTTTTGTGCTGCTCTAGGCAAGACTAAAATTGGTCCCCCCGCATGTAAATTTGCCCAACCCCTTCCTGTTTAAGATCCACCCCTTCATCTGTAAACTCCACCCCTTCATCTTTAGGCTCCACCTCTTACTATTAGAGTTCCGCCCACTGACAACAATGATGTGACGCTATTTTTCCCATTGACAACAATGATGGGGCGCTATTCCTCCCATTGACACCAATGATAGGGCACTATTCCTCCCACTGACACCAATGATGGGGCACTATTCCTCCCACTGACACCAATGATGGGGCACGGCACTATTCCTCCCACTGACAACAACTGTGGGGCACTATTCCTTCCACTGACACCAATGATTGGGCACTATTCCTCCCACACTGATGCCAATGATGGGGCACTATTCCTCTCACTGACACCAGTGATGGTGCCCCATCATTAGTGTCAGTGTTGGAGGAATAGTGCCTCATGATTGGTGTCAGTGGCAGGAATAGTGCCCCATCATTAGTGTCTGTGGGAGGAATAGTGCCCCATCATTGGTGTCAGTGGGAACAATAGTTCCCCCATTATTGGTGTCAGTGGGAGGAATAGTGCCCCATCATTGGTGTCAGTGGGATGAAAATTTCCCCCTCATTGGTGTCAGTGGGAGGAGAAGTGCCCTATCATTGGTGTCAGTGGGAGAAAAAGTGCCCCATCATTGGTGTCAGTGGGAGGAAAAGTGCCCCCTCTTTGGTGTCAGTGGGAGGAAAAGTGCCCATCATTGGTGTCAGTGGGAGGAAAAGTGCCCCATCATTGGTGTCAGTGGGAGGAATAGTGCCCCATCATTGGTGCCAGTGGGAAGAAAAGTGCCCCCTCATTGGTGTTAGTGGGAGGAATAGTGCACCATCATTGGTGTCAGTGGGAGGAAAAGTGCCCCATCATTGGTGTCAGTGGGAGGAAAAGTTCCCCCTCATTGGTGTCAGTGGGAGGAATAGTGCCCCATCATTGGTGTCAGTGGAAGGAATAGTGCCCCACAGTTGTTGTCAGTGGGAGGAATAGTGCTGTAGGTAGTAATAGGGCACTATTACTCTCACTGACACCAATGATACTTACATTGCTGACCCCTGCTCCAGCCCGGGCTCCCTCCCTCTCCTATCCACAGCCAGCATACCCTGCTCTACCCAGGTCCTGGCCACACTTACCTTACCCATCAGCTGTCTTCCTTCTCTGGCCACTCTCTTTCTTTCTACCTGCTCAGGCTGGTCCCTCACTCGATCTTCGATCTTCGTGCTGCCACTCGGCTCCTCCTCTCCAAGCTCCACCTGCTCACCTGTGATTGGCCGCCTGTGTGCCCCTTCCTGAGCTACAGATCAAATGCAAATACACCCCTGCATTTGAGCACAGGTATATCTTGTTTGTTTTATTGTAGGTCAGTAGCCAAACCTAGTAGCTGTCCCCCACTTTGTATTTTCCCCTGTATTGGCATTGTGTCCGCAGTAGCATCTGCGTAGGCAGAGCAGAGCAGAGCAGGACTGGCCACAGAGGGATTACTTTGGTGCAGTTGGCCAGCTTAAACATGTATTGCAATATGTGTGAACTAAATATCCCTATTCTTTATTGCAAAGTCTGCTGGAAAGGGTATATGCCAGTGTGCAGAGAGTCCCTCAGAATTTCTGGATGTGGGCATAGGCGTGCTCACGCATACAGACGTGCACTTGTCACTAATGCTGGTGTCAAACAGGCTATTTAAACAGGCTTCAGTATTATCTCATTGCTCTTTGGTCTACAGCTTATGTGTGTTTGTTCCTGATTCCTGTGCTTGACCTCTGATCCTAACCCAACTTGTTCTTGACTTCTGCTTGTCTGCTATCTGCCCTGACCTCAACTTTTATTTGGATTTTGCCTTCTATTCTTGCCTGATTGATCCTCCGCTGCTGACTGGGCTTGTGACCCAACTATCCTGCTGTCTATCATCTATGACTAATCTGGCCAACCATTATCGACCCAGCTCAACTGACCCCTGAATCTTGCTCATACAGTCTGCCACAGCTCGTCAGCAAGTCCACATCTGGGTCCTGTTTCCTGCTGCACACCCATAGTCTGCTGCCAGATCATGTGCCACCAGCTTGTCTGGCTTCATCTGCCTGCTGACTTCTGCCACCATGCAGACTACTGGACTGATCACAGGCACTCATACCTCCCAGTGCTCCTGTGGCTGCTGTTCCACTACCAATGGCCTTCGAGCTGGAGGCCTTCCTCTTTATGACAGGCTCACTATCCAGGAACGTGACAGGCGGTTTCCAATTACAGCCCAGAACCCTATGTAGACAATTAACACAGGGCTCTGTACAGAGGGAACAATCTCTTTGTTTCTTCTTCCTGCAAAACAGGGAGAAGGAAATAAGAGATTTTTAGTAAAAAGCAGCACATAATACACACATTAACACTTGTTAGGTGCACACTTAACCCCTTGATTACCCCGAGATGTTAACCCCTTGCTAGCCAGTGTCATTAGTACAATGACAGTGTATTTATTATTGCTGATCCCTGTATTAGTCACTGGAGATGTTAGTGTTAGTCAGTTTCCACCCAGTGTCAGTTAGTATCAGGTTGCCTGCCGCACTATAATCACAGTCCAATTATAAGTCACTGATCACCACCATTACTAGTATAAAAAAAAACTCCAGTATGTATACACCATAGTTTGTAGATGCTATAACTTTCACGCACATTTTTTCAGAATTTTGGCCTAAATTTTGAAATTTTTTTAATGGATATGGTTCGGTCTTTTTGTTTATACATAAAAAATGTAAAAGGCCAATGATTATCAAATAAAACCAAAAGAAAGCTATATTTGTGTGAAAAAATTATACACATTTTGTTTAGGTGCAGTGTTGCATGACTGCAATTATTAGTTAAAGTAGCACAGTGCTAAATAGCACAAAATGGCCTGGGGGGGGGGGGGGGGGGTAAAACCTTCTGGAGCTGAAGTGGTTATAGAAACCTGGGAAAGTGAATCTTCTCCACATAATACAGTAGTAAAACATATCATCCAATTTAGAGAATAGCTAAGATAATGCCTCTGGAAAAAGGAGCATTTACAGGAGGAACAAGAATCAAAGAGAAGAGTGTACAACTGGTCAGCCGAGCTTAGACAGTTCTAGGTTGTGGACTGGGTGACTGTGCTTATACTCACAGCAGGGAGTAATTTCCTTTCCATGTGGCAGGGGTCATTTGAGGTGGTAGAAAAGGATGGTAAAGTAAATTATAAAGTACACCAACCTGGGAAGTGAAAAACCAAGAGCTACCTGCTCTTGGAAAGACCAAGACCAGGTAACTGTCCTGGTGGATGTTAACTTTAGGTTAGGGCTAGGGATGAACTTAATCCCAGTTCCTGTCCAAGCCACAAATTCAGCAGATAAAAGAATGTTTACAAAGGATTAACAAGTTTTTTTGCAGGGCTGCTAGGCCTAACAAGTATAATTGTGCATAACATTACCACAGAAAAGTTTGTGTAAAACCCTATAACAGTCCAGTAGCACACAAGAAAGCTGTATCAGAGGATGTTCAAAAAATGCTTGAACTATATATCATTGAAGAATTGCAGAGTAAATGGTTGAGCTTGATTATATTGGTACTAAAGCCCAGCAGGAATCTGCAGTTTTGTAATGATTTCAGAAAGCTCAGCGAAATATCAAAGTTCGATGCATATGCAAAGCCCTAAGTGGACAAACTGATAACGAGGTTAGGATGAGCCAAGGAACTGACAGAGATGACAGGACTAGTATATTACCACCTTAGACCTTACAAAGAGGTACTGGCCCTTCCAAAATAAGGAAGGAAGCCCTTCCAAAATAAAAGAGCGCTGTTTGGCTTAAATTCTGTTCCAGCTACTATCCAGATGGCAATTGATAAAACACCACCCCGAGTTCATGATGAGTTGCACTCTCTAGCAAAGGAGGGGTTTACCGTTAATCTTGAAAAGTGGGCCATTGTGATGGAAGAGGTCAGGTACGTGTGCTACATTTTGGGTTGGGGTTTGGTGGAACCTCAAATAAATAAGGTATAGAATAATCAGGCTTGGCTCCCCCTGTTACAAAAAGCAGGTCAGAGTATTTTGGGCATCCTTGGTTACTACCATCAGTTTGTCCCCAACTTCAACTCTACTGCTGTGCCACTGACTTACCTGAAAAAGGATAAGGAATTAGTCATTGTTTTTAAGATAATGCCAACTGGGCAGCCTAAAAACTGATATGAAAAGACATAGAGCACCCAAGTTGTTTGAAATTCATAAGTCAGCCATGACATTTTTTTTTTCAGCAACAGTGACCACCCCTTTCAAAACATGGCTAGCCATCATAAGTTCCATTAACAGAACATAACAGAATACACATCCCCTCTAACAGCCATCAAAAAACCTTCAAATATCAAGGCTTAAGTAATTAAGTATGGCAGAAATCCAATAGTCCAAAATTCCAGTGTTTCAAAGGGTACTAACAGCCTTCACCTCACCACCACTAGTGAGAAAATTGCATATGCTCACCAGAAGTTGAGACCTCTAAATCATAGGAGGTCATACTCACACTATAATTTCCAGGTATAGCATCACAGGTTGATCTGGTGGTGTGGTGAAGGCTGTCAGCTCCTTTCTGTACACTTCAGAAAAAACGAATCACAAGATTGTTTGTTAAAGTTTTTTCACACATGAGATGGTATTTGATATTCTATGTAAAACACATTGAGTTTGCACCTATTTAATATGGAACAAGTATACTTCTATTTTGTATTGCACATGTTGAGTTTGCACATACTGTATTTAGTGCTGAACAATTTTGTGCAATAATATCATATATTATGCAATAGTTATGGCCAATTCACATTAGTGCAGTGACTAGTATTTTACCACACTGCACAAATCAGGGCACTGCTCTTGTTTTCTGTGTCCTATTCACATGGTACCACACCGCCCCCTATTGTCTTTTCACTGCAGCCGGAATGGACAACTGTCTCAAAGTAAACCCCCAATTCCTAAATCTATACTACAGTATATATTATATATAATTGTGCAGCCACCAGGGGTGGACTGACCATTAGAGCACTCGGGCACTGCTTGAGGGCCCAGGGTCAGTAGGGGGCCCCATGAAATGCCCTTGGTACCTTTTATAGGCTTTTTTGGGTGTGCTTTGAGTGTGGTCAAGGACACAGGGGCCCAGGGGTGGACTGACAACTCATGGGGCCCCCGGGCAATAGGGGAACATGGGGCCCCTGTGTCCTTACCCAAACTGAAAAAAGCCTATGAAAAAGGTACCAGGGGCATCTCATGGGGCCCCCTACTGACCCCAGGCCCTCGAGCAGTGCTAGAGTTTCCAAATGGTCAGTCCACCCCTGCAGGGGCCCCATGATCCTGTATTGCCCAGGGACCCCATGAGTTGTCAGTCCTCCCCTGGCAGCCACCCCACCTCAGTGGCCATTTAGAAAAGTGACCTCTTTATTATTAACTCCAAATGATTTTGATATGTATTTTGAATATTAGTAAGTACAGTCAATATTAACAAACACTGTAGAATGCACAAACAAATCCTTAAAGATCTACTGTCAATTGTTCAGCTCTGTAGTTTTGAAATCAGCACAATAGCAAATATAAAAACACCACGTTATTTTATTATAAATAAATGTACTTTATCAGCGCACAGTAGCAATACCATATCGGCCTCTTAATTTTGAGTACATAGAAAACTATACTTTCCAGTTTGCAGTGTGGCCACTACTGATGATGTCACAAAAGGTGACACTTCCTATACACTGTGCTTCCAGAACACAGAAACAGAGTTTTCTTTAGATTCTCAGAGGAGGGCCAACCTAAAGGTGGGGTTAAGGTTGATGTGACTTCTCAATATCCAGACACAACTGTATAAATGACATGGCTCTGCACATTTGAAAGGCAAGACTATTTAGTGTCACAGCAATATAGGGAATGGGGTACTGAAAGAATGTTCATTAGGTATGTTTTTTCAACTTAGAAAGCATTGTTTTTTTAATAACTATGCCAAAACACATACACATTCAATTACTTCAAGCAGATCTTCATCAGGATGCTCAAAAAGAAAGCAAAGGCACCTTTAAAAATGTTTTACAATGACAATGCAAACAAAACATATTTACTATTCACCGCAGGCTGAAGC